TGGCCTCCCCCGGGCCTCCCCGCCCCTTGCCCCTCCATTTCCTCCCCCGAGGCCCTAAAGCTCGGGCTTTTTCTTTCCCCCGGTTCCCCCCGGAAGGGGGCAGGCGGGAAGCCCCGGTGGCCCCGGGCCTCTTTTGGTTCGCGGTCCAACCTCGGCCTCCAGGGAGCATCGCTGCCCCAATTGGGCCAGGCGAGGCTCCAGAGCGCTGAAGGGGTGGTGCCGCCTCCGCCCTCTTCCTCCGCGACCAGGGAGCTCCGGGCCCAGCGCTGTCGCGGTGCTGAAGGAGGCGCCTGTCGCCAACCTCCTGCCCCGGGTGTGCCCTGTCCCTCGGCATGCCACCCCTCCCACCCCCGCCCCTCTCTGTTCCCTGCCCGCCTCCTTGCCCCTCCCCGCCCCGCCTACAGGCTTGGGCATTGGTGGCAAGTGGGTGCCCCACCGGCTGCTCCTGCATCAGCCTCCTGGAAGGCGCCTCTGGCCTGTTGGCCCTGCTTAGGCCCCCACAGGCCACAGGCCCATCCCCACTGCAGCCCGGAGGAGGGGCATCTGGGGTGTCCCCAACAGAAACTGCTCAGGAATCAAGGGCCTGACCAGGGGTCCCTGATGGTGAGCCTGCACCCACACCAGAACCACGGCCCAGGCTGCCATACCCACGAGTCGCCCCTTGCTCTGCCCCAGCTGCACCCCAGGGGCTGCCTGTGTCCTGAGGGAGGGGCCTGGGGAAAGCCAGGGAGGGGCAACCACACAGCCCAGCGGGGGAAACGAAGCTACAGACACTGCAGCCAGTAGGTCTCCCTCCAGCCACACACGTGGTGACTGGAGACCTCTTCCCACCAAGCGGAGGAGGGGGCAGGAAAACCTAGAGTTCAGAACCTGAGGCAGCAAACTGGTGTCAGGGCAGAGGCCAGGCATGTCGCTCCATGGCAGAGGGTGGCCTAGGAAGGCCACACCCAGAGCTACGTGGTGGTGGGCAGGGCCTGGGAGGTTCCCCGGCACATGCAGTCGGCTGCCCGTCACCCCCACTTCTCCCGGCTCTGTGGAAGGACGGCTGCCATCTCGTCTCAGGAACTATTTGTAATTTAATTACCCCTCTTTCCCTTTCCACCTGACCCTGGGGCTGTCTTCCAAACCCTCTGGTTCCTAGAAATTCTGGAGCTAAGGTGTGTGGTCCATACACTCTACAGGCTCTGCACCCTCCCAGCACCCTCCCAGTTGCTGCGCATTTCAGAAGAATACAATTTTTCAAACATCAGATTTATTTCAAAATGTGCACATTACAGTTTTTAAATACAAAATGTTCACTTTCTTTGCACGTAAGAAATTTCAGACATTTTCATGTCAATTAGTTTCTTTTTAACCAAATTCTCCCATTAAAAATAAATACATTTAAATTACTGAACCAATATATTCATTGTCTCAATAGTTACAACTTTAGAAAACAGACCTGAAGGTAGCATCCAGTTCTGAGCAGGCCACCACATGAGGTGTGCAAGGCGGCTCACACTTGCAGGTGAGACCCTTCCCGTGGCCGCATAGCACTGGCGGTCTGCTGGAACTTTGCCCCTCTGATGTCACAGACGTGACCTCAAACCGCAATATTACTATGAACCTTAGAAGCCAACATTGCCTGTCAAATGGGTTGATGTAGGACAGTGCCCACTGCTCACAGAAACTTACTTTGGGGGAGAAAACGACATTTGACACGAACCTAAGGCAGTTTAATGAAAGAGGCCAGTATTTCCCGTGGCCTCTGTAAATTGGCCCGTTTTCAAGTGGAAAGGAAACAATATGGTGCCTTCAATAACCAGGCACACGAGCCTCAGGTTTAAACCAGAGGCTTCTAGGGGTTAAACGTGTCACCAACTGGAAACCTCTGGCAGGGGTGGCGCAGAGGCTCAGCTCAGGGCAGGGCTCCCTGTTCCTGGCCACGCCTGCCCCCAGGTGGGCACCGGGCTGGTGGCAGCATTGCAGGCACCATCCTCGGGCTCCCCTGAGCTGGGCTGGGGCAGGACCTGGTGCAAGTAGTCCACACGTGCTTAGCCGCTGCAATGAGGGAGCATGCGGACACCACAGGCACAGTGGGAAGAACTACTTACCACCATCACGCACACAAGGGGGCACACACACAGGCGCGCGCGTGCGCGCACACACACACACACACACACACACACACACACACGGGGGTGCACACTGCTGGGCATCTGCATAAGGGTCTCAAAGGAAATGCCCCTCTGGGTTTTATAAATAATGTGTTAAAATCATTAAATGGTAAATAATTAACCACCAAAGCCCGGAGATAGGCCCTGTGCCAGGACCTGTGTAAAACACCTTCAGGCAAATGCCAGCGAGACCCCATCACCACCCACTCCGGCTCTGGGCAGTGGCTCAGGAGGGCTGTGGTGCTGGATGGCAGGGGCCCAGGCGGAAGCTCTGCTCTCAGGCTCACAGTCTCCCGACTGCCGGGGACAGGCAGCCTGGGTGGCCCTCACGCACGGAGCTCTCTCATCACCAGAGTAACAACCAACAGGCCAAGGCACTGTCCCTGAAGAGTAAGACGAGCACCGCCCTCCCTCCCCACACCAAGTCTACCCCCCATGGCGGGGATGTGGGGGGCGGGGTGTCCCCCTTACCCTCCATGGGGAAGGGCTGGGTTTTTCTCCAAATCCCCAAAGGAGGCCGTGCACAATGGATGTAGAGCCCAGTAAACTTGATGAAAGTGGGTGCAAAACATTCTTTTTGGCCTGGACACCCCACTCCCGTTTTCAGACCTAGAAGAGTAAAAACATAGAAGTCGCTTTGCTATGGATTTGTCAGAGGCGTCCACGAACTGTGAAGGCCGGGAACGCACACAGGCCCCAGCTCTGGGACCACAGCTGCCATCAGCGGGGAGCAGGCCCCCTGCCTGTCACCCCTGATCAGAACTGTTAAAGCCGCAGGCGCGGGCGGCTGCTCAGCTCTACACAGACGGATGGCGGTGCCGGCCTTTCCACCGCCGGGACCGCACTCGGAAGAAGAAGAACATCACCATCAGGAACATGGAGGAGGCCACGTAGAGCAGGACGCAGAGGCTCATGTCCAGGCTGGAGAAGCCCATCCCCAGGAAGGGTGCAGCCGCCTCCACCTCCCTGCGGGCCTCGGGCCTGGCTGGTCCCAGGTGCGACCCCTCTGAGGGGCGAGGTGTGGGAGGCAGTGCCCCGGGCTGGAGCAGGCTCTCGGCCCCGTGGTCTCCAGGCCTCTCTGGGTTGGCTCGGCCTCCCTCTGGCTCCTCGGCCTCGCCCGTGCCACCCAGGGCCGCGGCGTATGTGTGCACGAGGTTGTCGCTGCCGTAGTGCCGCTTCAGGAACAGGAGAACCTGGTCTTCGTCCCAGCTGTCCAGGCCCCTCAGCTCCTCGTGGCAGGCGGGGCAGAGGTCCGGAGTGGGCCACGCAACCTTGGGAAACCTGGGGTCCTCGCTCGGATGGCCTGGGAGCGGGAGGGAGGCAACTGTGGGGAGGCCTTCCCTCAACTCGCCCACCACCCAGGGCTGCCAAGCCACAGGCCTCCCGCCCACGGTCAGGTGCCTGCCTCCCCCACCCTTTTGGTCCACCCACACCCACTGAGACCTCCCCGCAGGGACTAGATGACGCCTGTGCCCCTCACCCCACCTTTCCTGCACAGCTGCCCCCGCTTCCCTAAAGCATCCTCGGGCGGCCCCCATGGCCAGACTACACTGCCACTCACCTGCCCTGCTCCTGTCTGTCCCACTGCTTTGCTAAAGGTGGGCTGGGGACTACGGGACTAGGAGACATCCCATAGGCTGCAGAAAGCCCTTTCGGCGGCAGGGTAATGACGGGGGAGGGGGCACGGGCTCTTGGAGCTCAGTGCTGCCAGGGCAACCTGGGACTCACTGGGAGCACAGGTGGCAGGCAGAGGCACGGGGAGGCCTGACACCTGCAGCAGGGCCTCCACGGAGGGGCCTTCACCTGCACCGACAGGAGGGCAAAGCTGGCAAACAGAAGGGGCCAGGGCCACGCCACGTGACCAGAGCCAGCAGGCAGCTCTGGTGCAAAGAGCAACCAATTTTCTTTAGTGCTTGAGTTGTAATATGTTTTTGTAATACAGTGGATTAAATAAAAACCAACAGTTTAGTGGGTTTTCTATTCATCTTTATCAAGATTTACTTCTGAGTGGAATTATTTTTAAGCCTAATTTTAATCTGCCACTGATTTAGGAGCAGTTTGAATTACTTAACTCTGAGAAAATGTATGCGCCCTACTTAGGCTTTAAACAAAGCCATTTTGAGGAGTTTGATTTATCGTCTGAGAGCAGATTTTAATGACACTAAAATTCCTTCCTGAAAATTAATTATGACCCAAGCCTCCCGCTGCATCTCACTGGGCCTCGTGGGCTCCTCAGGGGGTGCATGCTGCCTGCCAGCTTCCACGCGGCTCCAGGGAGAGAACAATCTGGAAAGCAGGCACCCTGGAGCCTGAGAACAGCCCCTGATGGCGGAGCAGGGCTGGCTCCCGCTGTGAGCCCAGAGCAGGCAGAGCGGCACCGAGGCCAGGTCATCCCCACGAGCAGTGCTGCCCCCCCGCCCCCACCTCCCCACGCCTCACAGGACATGCTGACGGGCATGGGCACGGGCAGGCCACCATGGCTTCTGCTTACCTGCCAGGCGGCTGTTCACGAGGTTATGCTTCTTCCAAAGCCAGAGGATTGCTTGGTCTGGGGTTTTCACAGAATCCATGGACTCTTTAGCCATTTCCTCAAAATGCTCCCCACACTCTTTACAGCCGAAGAAGGTGAGCAGGTACCTCCGGATGGTCTGCAGCACCGCCTGGGGGTCGTCTTCGAAACCTGCAGGGAGCAAGCACTGTGGCACCGCAGAAACGAGGCACAGAACGTGTCTGATGGTTCCCACTGGAACCCAGGGCTGGGGTGGTGTCGGGAGCCAGGAACGGGCTAAGGCCTGACACTGGACGGCAAGGAGCAGCACCTTCCCAAACACCGACGGCAAGCATGTCAAACTCACGGCCCACAACCAATACTGGTGTGGCGCAGGCAATGTCACGGTACGTAGGAAACACTTTAATAAAAATTTCGTAACTTAATTTTTACAACATCCTGTTATACATAATTATTAATAATGAACTACAATGTTCGTTAATGACTGATGACTATCATCCTGTTGCATTCATTTCCCTTACACGACTTAACGCGCAGGCGCACCACTTCTCTCCACTAATACCAGCAGCGAATATTTTAGCAGCCGATGGCCACGTCATTCGTCTTGGACTGACTTGTTTGGTGTGTGCAACAGGAAGTATTTCACTTTCGGAGAACAAGAAAACTAGGTTTATTTGCATTAACACTTATTAATTTGTGCAGTTATTCAGTGTTGGGTAAATTAATGTTCAAGAAAAAATATTAATTTTTGTTAAAATGTTCTATTTTTTTATGTTAATGATGACCCATTTATTTCAGCCCTTTGTATTCAGCATGTTTCTATCGAAATAAACGTATGTTTCTATGAAAATGGAAGCTGTTGTTTTTTTTGTGGCCACATAAACTTAAACCTTGTTTATTTGGCCCGTGTTAGCCTTTGAGTTTGACATGCTTGACCCACGGCAACAGGGCTGCTGGCCCCACGGCCTCCGCCGAGCATGCCCTGTGCAGCCCCCAGAACAAGCACCAGGGGAAGGACCTCCAGGGGCGAGCCGCGCCTCTGACCAGGTTCCGGCCCCACCCCCAGAGCAGGGCTCTGCCTCGGGTCGGGGGGGCCCTGTGCACGTCCTCCCACCTCACAGGCAGCCCCGAGGCTGGTGCCGGGGCCACGGCCCACTCCTCTAACTAAGTGCTTGTTCTGCTCCGAAGTCCTTGCACAGCACAAGCCCAGGTGTGCACGTGGCCTTAGCTCGTGCCTCTGGGGTGCCAGCAGCTTCACACTGACCTTCCCAAGGGTAGCCTGGGACGAATGGGCAGTGGCCAGGGCTGTCTGGGGAACGGCAGGCACCAGGACCTGCCCTCCTAGGAGAGGCTGCACCTCTGGTGGGAGCGCTCCAGCATCCACCCTCAGTGACAGCCCCGCACGGGGCCCGAGAAAACACACCCTGACATTTCGGGAGAGCAGCCACAGGCAGGGGGGCAGAGACAACGTGGCCCTAACAGGGGCCCAGAGAGAACCACAGGGCAGCCTGCGCGGGGCCTAGCGGGCCTCTTCAGACAGCTAGGATGGGGGTGAAGCATACAAAGGAGACCTTGTCAGCATTAAAAGACAGGCAGCAAGATAACTGGGTAAACAAAAGACACACTTTTGAGACTGAATCCGTCAGAACCAACAGCAGGCCCTCGTGGTCTCTGGCTGAAGCCGTCGTGGCTCCGCCTCACGGCCACGCCCACTAGCCCCGAAGCCCCAGCGGCCTACCTATTTCCATGTCCTTTAGTCACTAACTGTGGCGGCCATTCCACTCCGAGTTGTGAGCTGAGCCGACTGCTCCCAGGCTGTGTCCAGGGCAGTGAGGCAGTGCCCACAGTGAGGTCGCCACGTGCACGCGCTCGGCTGGGCTCTGCCCGTGGCCCCTCGCCGGCAGCCAGCAGTCCTGGGCCGACATCTGCTCTGCTTCACCGTAATCCTCCTTTTCTCTCCCCAGCCAAGCGCTGCTCACTGCGACCTCCCTAATCTTTAAAGTGCACAAGAACCACAAAGCTCCACCTGAGGGGATTAGGGGACACGCAGGCTTTTAGTCGATGGGCTTAAGCGTCCAATAAGGAGAGGAAAAACCTTCCAAGACATAATCCGACATCTCCGTCTGACCCAGTTCTGCAGTACGAGGCGTGCTCCTGGTAGAGCTGCAACGTGCGTGGCTACTGCTGCCGGGCGAGACCCCGCCGTGTGCCGCCCTCCGACACAAGGCAGTGCGACACCGCTTCGCAGTCTCCTGGGGACGCAGCCCTGGCGGCTACCAGGCTGCCCTCAGCGTGTGCTGCTGCCAGGGCAGGACCCGGAAACGCGAGGCTCCAGCTGTGCGCACGGCTGAGGTGGTCTGATGTCACTTTTGTCCGGGAGCTCCGCGTTTCCCCTGAAAGTCATGCTGCTCTTGTCCTGTGTGATTCTTAAGAGAATCTCAAGTCTCAAAGCCCACCTCTGTCCCATGAGACCCTAGAACTCAGCGCTGCCTGGAGGAGAGCTTCGTGGTAAAAATGCCCGAGGGCGGCCCTGCCCTCTGCACCCGGCAGGTGAGCCCTATCTGACCGACAGGGTGTGGGGAAGCGATGCCTGTGCCCGCCGAGGCCCTGAGAGCAGCTTCCTGGGTGTGGTGAGAGCAGGCCGGGTGCAGGGCTCGGACCTTCTGAGTCCAGACCAACCGGCCATGCCTCTGGACAAGCACCCACCGGTCCCACACAAGAGCCACCACATCTGGGTTAGTTTGTTAGGCAGCAAAAGGTAACTATGAGAGAATTTTACACTTTTACTGGAAAGAACATTGGACTGTGTAAGTCAGATGTAACATAAGCATCAGTGGACCTCAACAACTAAGAAAATGACAACCAAGCCCAGCTGGCGCGGCTCAGTGGTCGAGCATCGACCTATGAACCTGGAGTCACAGTGTGCTTCCCCGTCAGGGCACATGCCTGGTTGCAGGCTCGCTCCCCAGTAGGGGGCGTGCAGGAGGCAGTCGATTGACGTTCTCTCTCATTGATGTTTTGATCTCTCTCTCTCCCTCCCTCTCCCTTCCTCTCTGAAATAAAAAACATATTTTAAAAAGGGAAATGACAACTAAGAGACAGCGGCCTGCTGGGGCCAGGCAGTGTCCGCACAACCAAGTCCAAAGGGTAAAATATCCAGCACGTTTCGTAGTGTCCACGGAGCATGCAGAACATGACGACTTTGCGTTAGCTACTTCCTGGTGACTGAAGTTAGTAAACCCACTCAAACTTTGGTAGTTTTTCCTCTTATGGCAGGCGGCCCCTGAGATGGCCCCGGGACGCCAGCTCCCGTGAGCAGGCGAGGCCATGGCTGACTTCTAACAACCAGAACACGCACAGCGAGGGACTCACTCTGGCGGAGCCAGTGCTGTGGGAGCTGCTGTGGAGAGGGCGCGGGGAGGAACAGCCAGCAGGTGACACCCAGGCCCTCAGGCAGAGACACTGCCCTGGCAGAGGACCTGGCTTGGCCACATCAGATTCCTGACCCACAGACACTGTGAGAGACAAGAGTACACTGTTTCAAGCTGCTGGGTTTTAGGGTAACTTGTCAGGCCACGAGAGATAAAACACGCCCTTTCCTACTGAGTCTCACACCTGTAAAGCACAAGCAGAGGTTCCCACAGCAGGTCCTCCCCCGGCTGGGACTGGGCGGCTGCAGGGCATCTGCACGTGCCGGGCCCAGGGAGGGAAGAACTCGGCTCTGCATTGGGCGCGTGGGGTCTGCGACCTGGAAAGACGCTCCCTCCACCTGCTGAGCAGGGGCCCCCAGGGCCCCCGATGACACACTGCCTTACAGCCAACCCCCGCTGCTGAGCTTCCGACGGCCCCGGCCGGCGCATCCCGTGTGCGTCCGGGGGCAGACAGCACCCTGGCTGTGCGGGGACGTTACCTGTGTCATCCAACGCGTCTGGGTGGGTCCCGGCCCGAACAGTCAGCATGTGGAACAACTTCCAGAGAGAACACGTGTAACCCCTCAACTCCGGGCGGCTTCCTTGACATCCAACCCACTTTATCTGATTAGTGAGGAATATTCCAGAAATCTGAGCAAAGAAAGAATAACAGATATAGAAATAGCTGGTGAGTGAGCGGACAGCACCAGGGACAGAGGAGGAGACGGGCAGTCGTCATGGGGACAGGGACAGAAACCCCGCAGAGGGGCCCGAGGAGGGGCCGCGGGGATGCCCGTGCGTGGGCAGGAGCCGGGAGGTGCGCACCCGCATCTTGTTGTTGACCAGGTCCAGGATGGCGTTGTAGGGCACCCGGTCCAGGGGGAGGCTGGCCAGCCACTCCTGCAGCATCTCCAGCAGCTTCCTGACGGGCGGGCGGCCGGGGAACAGCTGAGGGGGAAGCACCACACTCAGACCCCTGGGAAGGCAGGCAGCCCCTCAGGTTTCCAGGCGCAAGTGTGACCAGCTGGTCAGCGTGTGGCACTCGCCCGGCGACCCCTGCGCCCAAGCACCGCGAGACGTGCCGAGTGGCACTGCCGAGAGGGCCCCTCACTCCTGACCTAACTTACGAGACGACGTCGATGCTGAAGAACAGCGGCGACAGCTCACTGTCAGCCCCGGAAACTCTTTTCCGAGAGGTCGCCCAGGACCACCACCAATTACGCGCATGAATTTCAAGTCTGAGTCAGCTGCAGGAAGATGGCTAAGATATGCACGGCCACCCTGGCCTTGGAGCTGGGCCCGCTGCTCGCTGAGCCGGTGCCGACAGCGGAGGCTGAGCAGCCAACCGCTGAGCAGCCGACGGCCCATGAGCAGGAGGACATTCTGGAGATTCTAGAATTCTGAACCCACAACAGGATCAAAGCCTGTCCAAGCAGCTTTCCTTTATTCGTGGGAAACGCACTAGGCGCCTCCTAGTTATTCCTTTAAACGTAAATCGCATCGCAGTGCTGTGACTGGGGCCCTAGGACCCCGGCTAGGCTACCCCAGGAGTCAGAGAGCAGAGGGGCCACAGCCAGGCCCAGACAGGGCTGCAGGGGCAAGAGAACCAGGGCTCAGACCTGCCCCAGGAACCTGAGGGGGGTGCCTCCCGCCTCCCTCCTCCCAGAATTTTCTGGGCCAGAAAACAACAGTTGGCCAAGGCAGGAACTAAACTTTGATGAACACTGCGCTACCTCCTACTAAAGGTGGAGGGTGGCGCCCACAGCACTGGTCCCGGCCCCCCCAGCAGACTCCAGAGGACGAGGATAGCGGCCGCGCTGTACCCTCCGTGAGGGTGCTGTCCGCCTGCTCCTGTTGTCCCCATCCCCCATGTCATGGGGCTGCTGGCGTCAGCCACACACCGAGTCAGTCCCACAGTCCCCACCACACTCACCACCCACCTGGGTAAGTGCCCCTGGAGATTGCCCTCCTGCCCATGCCCCTCCCCCCCCAACCCAGGCCCCCTGCTCAGTGCCCCCTTCAGGCCTGGCGTCTGCATGAGCCACGCCCCCGGTGCCAAAAGCGGGCGGGGCACCGCTGGCCAGCAGAGTGCACGTCCAGCTCAGGTCGGCCTCGTTCCGCAGGGTCATGAACCGAGCCCCCAGCCCAGAGCAGACCCCACACACCTTGGCAACGATAGTAACAAAGTCCTTGAGTGTTTTCAGCTCTGCCCCGGCCAGTGTCCTGTGGGTGGCCAGCTCCACCCTCAGGAGGTAGTGCAGCCCCGACTCCAGGTCCGCCGTGTACAGTTTTGACCTGAGATTAGATATCACAGAGCCAGGAATGAATGCCTTCTCTCCAGTGAGCCGCCCCCCGCCCGGAGGCCTGAGCCTCCAGCGAGCTGAGCCCGCAGCTTCCTGTCCACCTGGGCCTCCCAGTGCTCACCTCCCACACCTCCTGTCCAAAGAACACTTGCCTGTCAAACTCTCTCCACACCACAACTTCAGAATTTTCTTCTTTGCTTGGTTTTTCAGGCAATGCAAGCGATTTTTTCCTCACATCTGGCAACGACTTCAAATAAGAGGAAAAAAATGACCGAAGAGGCTTCATGCTGCGAGAAAGGGGTGGGTGGGTGTGGGCTGAGCCGGAGCCCAAACCTGGCCCTGAGCTGCCCAGGCCCCTTCCTGAGGGAGGGAAGCTGTACTCCCCTCTCCCGCCCTTCACTACAGGTGCCGTGGGTGTGGCCTCGGAGCTGGCCCACCCCCCTCTCCCCAGGACATGAGACAAACACCACTCTACCCTGAGCCTCAGCTGCTCAGGGACACCCGTGGGCTGTGGAGCCGGCTGAGCACCCGCAGCATCAGCTCTATGACGTGTGGAGGTCTCGGCCTCGGTCCTCCCCTGAGCCTGCTGCTCAATGGGCCCCTCGAGCTACAGGGCGTGTGAAGGCCGACTGAGACCTTCCAGTAGCTCAAGATCATGCAAAGTGCGCCTCTATGTTACATCGTACAGACGACACTTCCACATAAACGATCCTTGGTCTGAGGCGAACGGCAGTGCTCAGGGAGCTGGGGGAGCAGTAGCTGAGCCTGGCCTGGACTCTGCTGCAGGCCCGGTGTTCAGTCCTCGCGAGCTCAGCCGCAGGTGGTACAGACGCCCAGCTCCACCAAAGCCCGAGGCCCCCAGGCCAGCGGGTGGCGTGAGAACCACTCAGCAGGGCGGAGAGGTGGAGACCCGGCAGGCAGCACAGGTTTTGGACGTGACCTAACCCTTCCGCCCACAACCTTTTCCAATTCGGGATTCTCTCAGGGGCCCCAGTGCAGAGGACAGCTGTGCTCTCAGGAAGGAGAGTGGACTGAGGGGATGGAGTCCAGAGCCCACCCGTGCCCACCGCTCACTGGGGAAAGGGGTGTGCCCCCCCCCGCGCCCCCCCCTCCCCTCCCCCGCTGACACAGACGCGGACCAGACCATATCTGGCTTGGTGTGAGCTCCCACCCAGATGGTTCCGGGATGCCACCATCAAACAGTCCTTCAGCCAAACTACGCTTACATGTTAATTAACCCGTGGGACCCATTTGGGTAAACCAGGTAACAGGAAGGAACGGAAGAGATGCCAAGCTTCTCCAGAAAGGCCGGGTCGCTGTCCAGTGCTCTCTTCACCGCGATGTTCTCGTAAGGACTCAGGTCCAGGATCACCTGCATCAGGAGGGAAGGTCACCCTCGGCCCAGGTGGGTCCACAGGGAGCGGCGCACAGAGGGAGTCCTGCTCACAGACCAGAGCAGTGTCCCCGGGAACACTCGCACCTGTCTTCTCCACACCCAGACGGTCACATTTCAGGCAACTGAGCCACGGACACCCCGGCAGAAACCAGACGGTCTGAGGGGACCTGACAGTGGCCCTGGGCGGTACTGTCCCAGCCAGCACATCCTCCACGAAACTGACCATCAAGTGCCCCCCGCCCCCGGGGCCACAGCCCCAGCATCCCCGGACAGCAACAGGGTCCTGGCCTCTGCCTTGTGCCCAGGCGGGGGCAGGGGGAAGAGGACTCGGCTCTGAGCAGAGCTGAGGAGCTGCTGCCTCCACCCTGGCAGCCATCTGGCTAAAAAGTTGGGAGCCCAGAATACAGCAAACAAACTGGACTCCAGAGCATAGGAGCAAAGCAGCACCACCAGGCCCAGGTCCCCGCCCCCTGAGCCCTATGCCCACGTGGGGACAAGACCAACCTGTGCCCTACTCTTCTCCTGCCCTCAGAGACGCTCCCCCACTGTCTTCTCCACAAACCAGACGATTCACCGAGTAACACGACTACCCGAGTTCTCACCCCCGGAATCTAGGCCCAGGCCCTGTGCTGAACCCATCACGCCGGGCCCGACAGGATATAGACATGGTACCTCACGTCCAACATACGAGCTGTTGCTCTCAAACAGAACAGCCACGTAGCGGCCCTCACGGTTGTCAAGGAGAGAAAGGACGTCGCTGGGCCTTTTAAGAGGAAAAAAAGGCTTTCAGTGTCTCTTGGAACAGTGCGCTGGCCACCAGGCACAGGGCCCACCCCACTCAGTGCACATCTGAGTTTGCAGAATTAATTCGACGCCTAACGTGCCATTTTCTCTTACAGAACCACGCACCGAATAGGGTCCAGAGCCGGGCAGGCGGGAGGCCTGTTTGCGTCCGTGTGGTTCTGTAGGAAGTCAATCATGGCTTGTCTCACCGTCTGCAGCTCTCGGTCAGGCCCTGGGGAAGTAACCACCATCATCTCGGTGACCTTACCACATGCCCCCCCCCCCCCCCGGTCCCCAGCGGGGTGCCTCGCACCGAGAGCTTGGTACAGACAGTGGTGAGTCCATCAGGAGGCTGCACGGTGAGGTGACAGGGACGTATCGCACAAGGCGTGCAGACACAGGGCGGGCACGCTGACTCCACCCACACCTGGTTCATACCAGGCGGGATGGCCTCTGATTAGAATGCAGTCACCGTGGGCTGACTGGTCACCGTCTGGGGCCTGATCTGGGCCCATTCATAAAAATTCACCAGGTGTGCACTTCTCCAATATTTTTTTCAATTACAAAGTTTACTTTTTAAAAAAATAAAAACTTTATCACGCCCTAGCCGGTTTGGCTCAGTGGATAGAGCGTTGGCCTGAGGACTGAGGGCCTGGGTTTGATTCTGGTCAAAGGGCACATGCCTGGGTTGCGGGCTCGATCCCCAGTGTGGGGCATATAAGAGACAGCCAATCAATGATTCTCTTTCATCACTGATGTTTCTATCTCTCTGTCCCTCTCCCTTCCTCTCTGAAATCAATAATATATATATATGTATATATTAAACAAACAAACAAAAAACTTTGTCACCACTGTGTTTGCCAAAAGAAGGCAGAGCACAAAATAAAAACTTCCTGCTGAAACCTGGCTGGTGTTGGTCAGTGGTCAGAGTGTCAGTCTATGGATCGAAGGGTCTCAGGCTTGATTCCTAGTCAAGGGCACGTGCCTCGGTTGCAGGTTTGATCCACAGCCCTGGTCGGGGTGTTTGCAGGAGGCAACCAATCGATGTGGCTCTCTCACATCCCTGTCTCTCTCTCTCTCTCTCTCTCTCTCTCTCTCTCTCTCTCTCAGCCTCCCTCTCTTCCACTCTCTCTGAAAATCTCCTGGGTGAGGAATAACAAAAGCCAAACAAACAAAACCTCCTGCTGAGACTCGCCTGCCTGAGTGCTTAAAGGAGGTGGGCAGGAGGCTGGTGGCAGCGTGTAAGCTGGGGCTGGGACAGGCTCCTGAACCATTTGTCCGTGATGGGTACCTGAGGCAAACCTACAGTAAAGGCACATTGCTTATGTCCTTACCTTTAAAGTTTTCGCCAGTTGTAAAGTCCTTTGTAAATGCTCTAAAATACTAAGAGGAAAAACATAGGACAAATGAGAAACAGCCTTACCTGGGGTCTTGTCGATGTATGATCTTTAGCCAACCAATGAGCATTCAGGTACCCCAAAGTCACCTCCCCCCAGAAAGTCTGCTCGAAGCCCTGAGGCCCCAGAGGAGGAGCCAGAGGTTGTATCTGTGGATCTGAGGCCTCCTGCCAGGTGTACGGGGTGATTCGCACCCATCAGCATTGTTACTTACACGCTCCGACCCAACAGGGCAGAGCCACAGACAGCGCCTTCCCCGACCCTAAGGGTCTCACTCTAACGTCACAAAGGCTTCCGGGGAGGATGACAGGCACAAATGAGTATCTCTGAGCAGAAGAAAGCATTTTCTATTGAAAAGACACGTTGAAGACAGTTACGGACGGGAGCGGTATCGCCACACTCACAGCTGATCCTCTCGAAGGACAAGGGGCTCTGGAAACGAGTGGGAAACAGACACACGACCCAAAAGGAAGTGGGCAAACCCACGCGCAGACAGGTCACAGTGGGGTGTTCTGAGGACCACAACCAGACAGGCTCGTGTTCCCTGGTCAGCAGGAATGTCCTGGTGCAGCCCCTGCCCAGCAACACACTGCCAGGCCTGTGCCCAGAAGGCTCTCGCCCACATAAGGGGACACGTGCAAGTGTTGTCACAGCAGCCGGAGCAGAACAGCCCGGTGGCAGCAATGGAGGGACGGTGGAGCGTGCTCCAATAATGGGGTGACTGTCAGCAACGTCCTCTCAAGTAAGAGACTCGAAGCTTCCAGGCAGCACTGGGCCAAGTACGCAGCAAACAAACCCAAATGGGAGAACGTTGGGAGGGCCAGACTCGGCCGAGAGCCAGGGGCTGGGCCGGCACGGCCTGTGTGAGGCTCGTGAACATGTGGGGAAGGACGCGCTCGGGCACAAGCTTTAGGGCTAAGGGGAGGGGGCACGGAGCTCCCTCAGAGTGCGCCCTCCATTGTGATGCGCTCTCGCTCGTGTGCAGGCGTGTGACTGTGCATGTGTGCACACGCACCCCATGTACATGGTTCTCTGCCTTCCAGTTGTTAACCCTCTGCCCCTAGTGGGAGATGGGAACACATCTGTCTGGGGCCCACGTGGCGTGCTCAGGGTGGCCAGGCTGGGCGCCGTAGCAGGGGGTCCTGCAGGCACCCAGGGAAATGAGCATAGTGCACGAGGCGTCAGCTCCCGTGGGCCACACGTGGGTGGGGAAGTGCGGAGGCCCCACAGCAGACTCTAGCAGCAGTCCCGACCACCCCACCCTCACCACACAGACCCCACAGCAATGTGCCCAACCCCAAGGGGGGACCAAAAAGGGACCCTCTGCAAGCAGGCACTCCACCACATCTACAGAAGCACCCCATATGCTGGAGACGGAGGGGCTGCCTTTGGTGAACCCAGCTCAGACAGAAGGTCCAGCAGAGCCGCGAGGCAGGAGGGTGCTCACCCGGAAGCTGGGGTAGAAGTGGATGTCGTAGGTCTGGCACACCTCGTGGTTACTCTTATCCGCACAGTCCAGGGCAGCGACGCGGATGGTGGCGGCCCAGTCTGAAAAGCAGAGGCGAGACCTTCAGTGTGAGAGAGAAGCATGGACTGACTGCCTCCCGTATGTGCCCGGCTGGGACTGACCGGCCACCTGTTGTTGTACAGGACGACGCTCCAAAGAACTGTGCCACCGGCCAGGCTGAAATTTTTATTAAGGAAAACTCCCAACATCTGAATGAAATAGAGAGAACAATGCAGCCACGTGTGCCCTCTGTCAGTGCCAACGATGATCAGCTGCTGGAACCTTGTCCATCCAAAGGCCCCCCACTTCCAGAACTGTACCCGCCAGATGCACTTCTAAAGGACAGGGCTCTGCACCCCCATCTGCCACTGCGTCATCACGGCGAGTCGTCACACGCTCCCCCAGCAGCAAGCACCCAGCGATGCACAGCTCCTAACCGTCTCGTCTTTGCTTAAACTGTTTGTTTGAATTGGGTCCAAACGAGGATGTTGGTTGGGACTGCGGATGTGTGCTGTCTCCTGTCCCCACTTGTCCTGCTTGTGGGAGGACGTGGGTCCTCTGCTTGCAGCCTCCCGCCAACTGGCCCCCTACCTCCGACTGTGTCCGACTGTGTCCAAGCTCCCACCAGCACACAATGACCCTGGCTGCCTCCCTTCGAACTGACCACCTGCATGCATGAATTCCCAAGGCTGCAGCCAGATGGGCACCTCAGTCCTCCTGCCTCCCTTGCAGGCGGAAGCTTCCGTGCAGTGGACACTATGCTCCCAGCGCCCTGAGGCCGGTTTCAAAGGAACGGTCCCCACATCCTCCAAAGGCTACTCGTGAGGTGTTCCCTGTACGAGGTCTTTCCCTGCTTCTTGGACGTTAGGATTGATTGCACCACCCATGACCCTTCCTGAACCTCCCTGGCTCCCTGCCTGCGGACGCCCGAGGAAGCAGGACCAGAACCAGGGCGGCCTCTGCAGAGACAAGCGCAGGGCGCGCAGTGGGGGCCGGGTGAGTCCTGCCGCCTTCTCCCGCAGCTGTGACTTCTGTGCAGGTCTCACAACTGCCTGTGTGCACCGTCTAACAGGAATGTGGTTAAAAGCAGGTGAGTTCCCTGAGCTCTGATAGGACCTAAAACTGCAGCGGTTACATGAGAAACACGCCTAAGGAGAGAAAACACTGACCATCCCCAGATCCTACACAACATGAAGGCCTGCATGTAACACCAATGAGTGACTGCTGTTTTCACCCAATCTACCCCTTTTGCTTAAACAGGCACACTTTTTTCTTCTGTAATTATAAAAAGTTAACCACCATTAATAAAACGCAACAGGTCAAGTAACAAGAACATCTAAGCTGTGTTTTCCACAACCAATGACTGAACATTCGAGCCTCAGAAACCAATTCCTGTCTCGAGGCCACGTGACCTGGGTGGGAGAGAACTGCCAGGCCCTCCCGAACCGCAGGCCACCCCTCCAGGGGCTCGGGTCCCAGGCCAGAGGAGGAGGTGATGCTCACGCAGACAGCAGAGATGGCTGTGCTGAGCAAGGCCGCGCCTCCGCTCCTCTCGGATGCTGCCTGCCCAGCCTGCCCTCCCACTCGTGTCACAAAGCATCCACGAGGCCCCAGCTCACAACACAGGGCCTCACTGTTGGTTGGGAATTTCCATGACACACTCACCGCTGCCCAGAGAGCGTTACGGAAAGGAAAGCGGCCAACACTGCACACGCAACACAGTCACAGGAAATGTCAGGCAGCCCAGCAGCAGAAAGATGGCGGACACTCGGTGCTCGCGGGTGCGCACGCTCCGCGCCTGCACAATGGGACTGGCCCTACCTTGTGATTCTCAGGTATTTCTTGGTGTGTTACTTAAGAAAGGAATGTGAGACCTGCTCCCGCAGGGTGCGCGTGGGGACCACACCCCAGGCCTGTGTGCATTTGCCCACTACGTTCTCCAGTTTCTAACCTCACAGCATTCCCAGAGCAGAGACTCCACGTGCACAAGTGTCCCAAGGCTGGGGGAACACTGCCCGACGAACTCTGAACACGGCTGGCCAGGTGGTGACGGTGCTGCAGGAACGCTCCTGAGTCTGACAGCACGTGCCGGGTAGGACGGGCCGTCAGCCCTGCGTTCAACAACTTCGTCCCCTGAATGCAGAAGCCGGGGTGCAGAAGAGCCGGGTCCAGAACGGGAGGCTCCAGCACAGGCCTAGGCAGCGCACCCCCCCCCGCCCCTGGCTCTGGGCACAGAACATCCTACGCGTGCACCCACACTTGTTCCCTAACGTGAACACTGCACCCACCTCTGGCCTTGGAGATCCTGGAGCACCTGGGCAGGATCATCGCAGAGCAGAGACCTCCCTCATCAAGTCCCAAGTCCCAGGAGTCAGGGCGCTGGAGGGTGCCTGACCCTTGCATAGGAACTCCTGCCCTCTCCCCTACGCCCCACCTACTTGCCATCTCCATCGCTGTCCCAGGCATCCCTCCCAAAATGCAACCCAGAGACTCCTGATCCTCTGCCTCTGCACCCTGTGCCCATCCTGCTCCCAGAAGTGGGGACCCAGCTCCCCTCCCAGGGGCACCAGCCCAGAGGGCCCAGCTGCCTTCTCCTGGTGAGGGAGCAGGCTCTGGGGGGCAGGAGGCCCCTCTGCAGGGAAGGTGGGAGCCACGCAGACCACAAGCACCAGCCTGGTTTCCAGCCTCCAGCTCCTCAGCCTCCCAGCGTGCAGGAGGCAGACCCCCCTCTGAAGCAGGCCCTGGGCTGGAGGCTTAAAAATGAAAACCTCGTTTTCCACAGGAATGAAACAAGTGCTCATTCCCCCTCCACAGCTCTCCCTCAGGAAGCAGCAGGAAACCTCCACTCGCACACCTGACACGTGCAATCCTGGGTTCCACAGAGCCCGCCCCACACCCACTTCAGGGCATGGTGTCTGAAAGCAAAGACCTGAGTGCAGGGAGCACGCGGACACGGTCGTGAATGACCGCAGAGCAGACATCGATCTCAGTGGAGCTCGCAGGAGCACACCAGCAGGGACAGGACGGCGGGGGGCCGTGGCCCACCTGGCTTCTGGGACCCCTGAGAATCCACAAGTCTGTCTGTAACCGCCATTCCACATACACACGTCCCCTGGAGCCGGCTGCCGTCCGGTGGAGGGCACGCCGACCCTCACAGGCCTTTGTCTGTCTCTGAAAGAAGGCCGTCTGCGGGAGGCCACCAAACACAGACGGGGAGGGTTTCAGTTACTGTCCCTGCCAGTCTCCGGGCAGATGGGCAGCATTCAGGAACACAAAAGAGACACTCTGTTCCCAAAGAAAATGCAAGCCGTTTCAAAGGTTTGCTTCAGTGTATCTGCCCCATTCAACTGGGCTCCTCCCCTCCTCCTGCCCACCTGCCTGTCTGGGTCCCACACACCACGGAGACACCACTGTGACCCGAAAGCTCCGCGCCTGGTGTCAGCTTCCCCAGCAACATGCGTGCGGCGGAGGCTCCGGGGCTGCCACCAGGGGCACCACCAGCAGCAGCCACAGCCTTTTTTTAGGACCATCGGCTTAAAAAAATGCGTGTGAGACAATTACACCTCCAGATACAGTAGACTAACATTTATTTCACCTTTACGTGTCAAATAACCATATGGCTTAACCCAGTGGTCGGCAAACTCATTAGTCAGCAGAGCCAAATATCAACAGTACAATGATTGAAATTTCTTTTAAGAGCCAAATTTTTTAAACTTAAACTACATAGGTAGGTACATTGTTATTAACTTGATTAGGGTCCTCCTAAGGCTTAGGAAGAGCCACCCTCAAGGGGCCAAAAAGCCGCATGTGGCTCACGAGCCGCAGTTTGCCGACCACGGGTTTAACCTACCAGGATTAAACCTTTTACTATTACTTGTCAAATTCTAATGAAAAGGTCTGCGGAAGTCTATTCCAGTCGAGCATTAGTTGGTCTGGATCAGTGGTTGGCAAACTGTGGCCCTTTGAGTGTGGCTCTTCCACAAAATACCACGTGCGGGCGCGCACATACAGTGCGATTGAAACTTCGTGGCCACACTCAAGGGGCCAAAGAGCTGCATGTGGCTCGCTAGCCGCAGTTTGCCGACCACTGGTCTGGGTGATGACAGGACAGTGTGGGAGCCTCCCGGGTTTAAAGGATCGCACGGGACTGTTTCCAAGGCACAGCACCCAGTCTGGCTTCTCCACCCTCGTGCCGTCAGGGCGGTGTGTGGGTTCCCAACCCCACGGTCCATCCACAGGAAGGCAATTCTCCCACCTGGTGCAGAGCCCTTCCTGGCTGAGCAAAGGTCTTTCGGATAAACTCCAAGTTCAAACCACACGCGGACAGGTGGGAATTCAGCCCCCACACCAAGGAGCAGAGCAGCCCAGGTTATCCAGAAGCTGTGTGTGCAGAGTCCAGGCATGTCTCTGAGTCTCACCCGAGCCGAGGGCCCAGCGAGGTTAAACTCAGGCTGTAGGGGGTTCCAGCCAGTGGGCACAACGTGTGAGACAGGAAAAGCTTTCGAGAACAATCCCGCACGTCTTCAGAGCCGAGGCGGGACCAGCAGCACGTCCGACCTGGCTTTCTCCAGGTGCAGTTGGAATGAAGCTGCGTCTCACAGGCACACCTGGGCCCACAACAGGAGGAGGCCCCCACTGCCTGCCTCTAGCCTCCCTTGCAGCCTCTGAGACCATCCACGTCCAGGGGAGCTCCCACAGCCCTCCTGGGTTCTCCACCCACCACTCCTGCAGGTGATTACCGCTGCCACCAGCACCCCATCCTCCCAGGCCCCATTCCTTCTTCCAGTGAACAGACACTGGTGCCCCAGCTCATCACCAAGAAGGCTGCAGCCTCGCCACACAGAAGCCAAGTCCAGACCAGGTGATGGAGAGCTCAGAGAGGGGCAAGGCTCAGGGCCCTCCTCTGGCCTCCGTCCAATGCAGACCCGGGGAGTGAGCCATTCGGCTCTGGAGTGGCGTAGCCTGTCACCCAGCTGTGCGACCACTAGTGGGCGACTCAGTCTCACGATGGGACAGGGAAGACAAGGCGTGTGTAGTGGGTCCAGCCCCCTCCTGTCTCTCCTCCACAATTCCAGGGCCAGTTACGGGAAACCTACCCCGGCTTCCCTGAGGCGAGAACAGATACCAAGGCCGCAGTGCCCAGTCTCCACAGAGACATTTCAGAGGCACCTGGGTGTGGGCTGCCCCAGGCACAGGTGTCTCACTCTCTGGAGGAGCAGACAAGCCGGGCTAAACCACAGCTCCAGGCTAAAGGGTTTTCAGGAACAGCGGCACTTCGTTTAGCGAGTCCTTAGAAGTGACAGCCTGAGCCAGATCTACACAACTGCCTAGTGACACTAGCTACTCCCAACAGTAGACCTTTTGCTTGTCAAGTCACCTTTCTTTCTGAGAACATTAACTGAAGTAGGGGACAGTGAAAGAAGGAAGTGCTTAGGAGAGAAACTGGGAAGTCAGAGAAAAGGGGCCTTGGGGACAGGGTCAGGGGGTCAGCGGGAATGCGCTGCCACTGCCCACTGCTCCTCTGGCTACAAGTCCCATGCGGTCCCTTAGACCTCAGGAGGGAAAGGCGTGGGCGTGCTCCCGGGAGGAAGAGCTCAAGCCACCTTCTCAGAGGGAAAACATTTATTTTCAAAATCTTGAAAACGTCAATGAAGAGCTCAAGTTCAATGCAAACCTAGGAAATGAAGGTCCAATGCTGGGCCCAGAGGCCCTGCCCCGCTGGGAGGAGCCTCGGGGGCACTGTGCTCCTCTCAGCAAATGAGGGGACAGTGAGGAGGCGATGGTGGGAGG